TCAAATCATAACTTAAATTTTTATCCAAAAAATATATATATCACAAAATTAACCAAATATCATAAAAATTTATAAAATATCAAAATAAACACAAAAATATAAAAATATGAATTTTTTTTCTTTAACTAATATATTTTTATTTTTATTTCAAGTGATACATGCAAAAAGAAATTCAAGAAGAAATTGAAAAAGAAACTAAAAAAAAGGGAGTCAATTGAAGGAGGTGAAAGTTCGAGATTAAATTCAAAAAAGTTTAAGTATTGGAAAAGGATCTCAACTTTTACTAAATTCTCAATTGAGGTCTTCAACATTTATTATGCTCAATCAAAGTTTCAAATTCATGCAAACTCTCAAATAAGGACCACGATTGGATGGAATCCTAACCATCCGAGTTAAATCTAACATGACGCCCGTTAGAATTTGTTACAGCCCTCAACATATGGCATGCCGACTAGACCCATAATGTTGATAGTAAAAAAATTGTCCAACGTGGCATGTTGTGGCAGATCTTTCCCTCTACAGATCAAATCGGTCCCACAAGACTCCTTTTCCTTTCCATCTTTGACTATTTAATACTTATTTAATATAAAAACCCTAAAACTTTTATCTGTAGCTTGGTCAATAAAAAATGACTTTTGAGAATTTAAAAAAGTCAATTTGAGGCTTTTACTAATTGGTGAGGTCTTTTAAACAATTTTTTTTTGTATTTTTGTGTGGATTCAACCGCATATAGGTACGATTATGTGATTTTATTTGAGTTGTTGAATGATTTTAATATTTTTATTAATTTTTGAATTTATTTTTTGATTTAAACTTTTTGTCTATATTACACATGATTTCTTTAATTTTATTTGGTCAATTTATTTAATTTATCACTTTTTTTATTCTTAATCACTTATATTTTTTTTTATTGTATCTCATTAGATTTGGGGTGTTGGAAGTGTTATGGCCTTTCTTCAATAGCACCAAAGAAGAGAAGAAGAAGATCAAGATCGAAGTAATAGGGAAGATATTGGCAGTGAAAATTCTAGGGATTTCGGCCCCCAATTTGTGGAATGGGACTAGAGATTGCTTGGGAAAGTTCTAAGGATTGGGTGGGCTGCTGTTGCGCGGAGAAGAAGAAGATCTTGCACGACCTGTCGTTGAGCAGAGAACAAGAAGGTCTTGCACAGAGAGAGGCCAGGCCAGCTGCTCGGCAAAGAAGAAGAAGCAGATCTTGCATGGAGAAAGGTCGGCTATTGGGCGAAGAACAAGAAGAACTTGCATGGAGAGAGGCCAACTGTTAGGCACAGAGAAAGGCCGGCTACTCGGTGAAGAAGAAGAAGCAGATCTTGCATGGAGAAAGGCCGACTGTTGGGTGGAGAACAAGAAGAAATTGCGTGGAGAGAGGCCGGCTATTGGGTAGAGAAGTTGTAGGGATGGGGTGGGCTGCTGTTGGGTGGAGAAGAAGACCCTGCACAGAAAAGAAGCAGATTGAAAATTCTAGGGATTTTGCCCCTGAATTGTGGAGTGGGAAAGAAGAGGAGACATGGGAGAAAAAGGAGACATGTGGGATTATAACATGGCACGTTTGACAATGCATTTTATTGTCTAGTTGGCATACCACATATTGAGGGGTAACGGATTATAACGTGCGGTCATGTTAAACTTAGCGGATGGTTAGGATTCCATCCAATTGGGTCCTTATTTGAGAGTTTGCATGAGTTTGAGATCTTGATTGAGCATAATAAATGTTGAGGACCTCAATTGAAAATTTAGTAAAAATTGAGATCCTTTTTCAATACTTAAGCCTTAGAAAAATTATGTAAAAGTCTTGACATTTAACCCGTTTACACCTCAAACTTATCTCAAGCAGCCCATAATCCTTTAACAAGGCCCAACCCAGGCTCAGCCTAAACCAATAATAAAACCCTAGTTTCCTTTCTCTTTTAAAGGAGAAGGAACAGACAAACAAACGAAAGGGGGGACGACAAACAAAAAAAACACCTCTCGTCCCGATCCTTCTCCCTTCTGGACTCCCAATTTCAACCATGACCTCCTTCGATCTCCATCTCCAATAAATCTTTCTCCACCTCATAACAGACCTTACTATCACCTCCATCTATGGCTTCTCCATCTTTCTCCGATATCATCATCATCGATCACCACAGAACCAAAAAAAAAAAAAAAAAAAAAAAGACCAATCTCAGATCTGAAAGTTTTGGGTAGCCAATGGCCGCACAGTGCACACCCTTAGACTGTGCGTCCTTCTTCTTTCTTCATCTTCGGATTCCACAACCGTTCCTCATCTCCGATCATCACCATCACCAAAACCGATCATCACCAAATAAGGGGAGTCTGAGAAAGGAGGAATTATTTGCCTGAGCTGTGAACAGTAGCACTGAGCAGCAACAGTGAGCAGCGGCACTGCAGCAGTCCAAAATCTCTCCCTCCCCTGTAAAATCGAGATTTCAAACGATTTTACAAAAAAATCGCGATTTTACGATTTTATATCCGATTTTATGAAATTCCGATTTTAATATCGATTTTACACGAAATGCATACATAGAATCGTAAAATCTTACGATTTTATGATGTAAAACGTGATTTTGACAACGTAGGAAAGGATTGTCTCTAGGTTTGTATAAACAACAAATAAAAAGGAAATAAATAAAAAGTAGTGTTGGTATGGAAACAATTTTCACGCAAAATCTTAAAACTGGTCCTTGATGTAGTTTCTGTTGAGTTACAATTTCTCAATTCTGATCTACTTAGGCGTACTGAATTTTGCTTCGCCCTGAGACTTAGGGTGCGTTTGGATTGTGACTGTAAGCCTTTTTTGGTGTTGTGACCTAACACTTTTAGATATGGTGTGTTTGAGAATTTTTTTTTAAATTATTTTTTTAAAAGGTTATACAAAATCATATCAAATTTATAGTAATATAGAAATTTTATGTATAAAATCAACAGTTTCATTTTGAAGATTTTCTGATTGTGGTTATTTTAATATAATTATAAAATTATTGATTAAAATTTAATTTTGTATAATTTAATTATATTATAATTTATAATATTTTATTTAAATTAACATCTTAATAAACTTAAATTATTAAAAAATAATAAATATTATCT